AGGGTGATGGTATTTACAGATCTGAAATGAGGTTATGTAGGCGAGAGGGGTCAGGATGAGGGGCCTGATCAGTGGTAACTAGGTATTCAGAAACATTGATGACTAAGACATCCCACAAGTTGGAACTGTAAGTTAGAACTATGAAGATAGAACTGGGTACAGAGATACTGAGAATTAACTAATTTGCTGTATTCTTAATTGTGTTTTCTTAATTATTGTTGTTTAAAAACATTGATTAAGGAGGAAGGGTTTCGTTATAGCAGCCATGACTCCTACAGTCTGCCTTTGTAGTTTGGTTTAATTCATTTAGCTAGTTTATTCTCAGAATGGTAAGGGCTGAGCCCCCTTGCTGAGAGTCTACTGCAGGGGGTTAAGTGTTTCTTGGGGCTCAGCTTCTTGCTTCAAGTAGGCATGGAGAACTTTGGGGTGGATGTACATACAAATAACGAATATTCATATGGTAATAACAATGTCAGGACATAAAGTGGGGGTGGGGTGGGCAGGAGAGAGAAAGAGAAAGGAAAACACCCTGGCATCAATATATAACAGTAAAAGGAAAACATCCTGGAAGATACAGGCTCTGGGAAGATGGCGGACAGTAATTTGTAAGCGATCCTGACACCAAAACGGAGGTGTAGGAGCAGCCTCAGGACTGCAGGGGAGGTGGCGTTTTCTGGAGAGTCAGGTTTCCACAAGTGGTGAAGAAAAGTTCAGTGCAGTTTTCCATGGAGCTGGCATTCCAGAGGGCAGTGGAAAAGTTCAAGGAAGGTGAGGTAAGTAGTGGGTGGCTGGGGTAAAGGAGAGTAACACCAGAGTGGAGGATAAGGTGAGAGAAAAACACATAGTTCTAGAAGCTTGTATTTTATGGGTGGCCGAGAGGCTGGAAATACAGTGTTTAATTTTTTCATAACCATTTGTTTTCCTCCTTCCTCTTCCGAATGCTTTCTCCTTTTCCACTGAGGGCTTTTCTGTATTCTCATACTTTTATCTCTGCAAACACTGTTCTACTTCATTGAACCCATCAGCCAGTTTTCATCAATCCCCTCCTAGTTCACTTCTTTCACTGTCTAGCATATATAAGCCCAACTCTTCTTTGCCAAATATCCCAGCTCCTGGTGTTTTGGCTTTCCTGTAGAACCCAGCTGGCAAAGTCTGCTCCCTGGACTCACACTTGGAGCCTGTATTCACACTGCTAAGCATAGCTGGAGAAGGTCATGTGGTTGCAGTTAAGGGTTGCATTAACTTTCTAATCTGGAACTTCCTGCTGTCTCGCAGTACTCTCCAGCAGCTCCTGCTTTTTCATAGGCAGCATTCTTCATAGTGACTACCCTGCCTACACCTGATGGTCTTGCTGCATTCTTCACAGGTCAGAATTACCTCAGCTTCCTGCCAGCAACCCTGTTTGTTCTCTGACTTTTTTCCCCTAAATATGGCTAGGTCTCTCCCATCTTTAAAATCTGTACGTACATACACATTCCCCCTCCCTCAAACTCATCTTCCTCTTTCAGTCCCATCCTAACACCTTTTCCTCCATAGCCAAACTTCTTAAAAATGTACCTGCTCTTCCCTTTCTTGCTGTGGCCTTGCATTGGCTTCAGCCCCATCAGTCCCTCTGAGGCTCCTTTTGCTAAGATCATGTATGTGGTATGTTAGTCCTGATTGTAGTGGGCTCTGCTTAGTTCCGTATTGGCCTGCTCTGTTGGGTATGGGCAGCACTTCTTCCTGGAAATACTCTTTCCCTGGTGTCCTGGCTTCATATCTCTGGGATGGATTTCTTTTTTCCTTGCATACCTTGGTGAGCTCCTCTTCCTCTCTCTATCCCTTAATTGTTGGCATTCATCATGGTTCTGTTCTAGGCCCCCCTTCACTCCTCTGGATGGCCTTTATCTCCCCACCTATTTCTGAGGACTTACCAAATCTGTATTTCCTCTCTAGACCTCTGATCTGAGACTCAGAACAGTACTTGCAACTGCCTGTTGAACATCTTACAGGCATGTCATTAGCGTGTCCCAAGCTGTTTATTGGTACACTGAATAGGATTGTAATTCTATCCAGCTACCTAAATTAGAAACCTAGACATCATTTTTTACTACTTGTGTTCTTACCTTTGTCTGTTATCCAACATTACTAACGTTCTGCACATACATACACATAGAGTATTTGCCATTTTATTTCTCCCCTAGTGCAGCTGTAATCATTCCTCATCCAGGAAACTAATGTAGTCTGTTTTCCTTGCCTGTAGTATTACTTGCCCTCTGTTAGTTCCCTTTTTACACTCCAAAAGGAAAATTTTAAAAGTGAAAGTCTAGATCATGTCACTTCTCTGCTTAAATCCTTCTGTGACTTTCTACTTAAGGTTAAGTCCAGACTTCTTACATGATCTCACTTCTGACTTTACTAGCCTCATTTCTCATTTTACTACCATCCAAATCTCAGCAAACTTGTATACCCTAAAGAGTAATACATTGTTTCCTATGCTACTCCTCCCCGAGAGCTGAGCCTCCTCGGTTATCCTTAAGTCCTGGGAATGTTCCTTTTCCGTGTGCTTCCGGGGCACTCTCTACCTCCCTGCCAGAGCAGTTTTCAAGCCATTGTTCAATGGACTGCTTTTTATTATCCCTGGATATATTGTAAGCTTGTTGAGGGTAGAGAGTATACCTGCATTGTTCCCTGTAGTATTACTAGCACTTAGCACAGTGCATAGCATATTATAACCTAAAGTAATTATTTTAAGAGCAAATAGATGAAGTAAACTGTTATAGCTGCACAAAGCAAGAAAATAATTGCATATGAACAAAGTGAAGGTTTGGAAAAGAGAGGCTTATCTATTTGTATTTTTTCTTAGAGTTAGAGTAGGAATAGTGTGCATGACAGTAGTGATAACTACAACACTGAAGTAGAAATCGAATAAAAGACGCGGCCACAAGCAAGGTGATAGAGTCAGAGCAAGAGGTTTACCAAATCTAGACTTAACCAAACTCCATTCCAACAGCTACCCTACATTCAACAAAACTGTGTTTTGTCTGGTGAATGCCACCTTTTGTATGTTTGTACGGTTCAAAGATGTATGCCCACTGCCAGTGCCACATATAATCCTATTTAGATTATTTTTATACAGAAGGTTAACAAGCCCATGTAGACTGTACTATCTCAAACGCCGGTTGTATCTAGAAACCATCGTAAGCTTTTTAAATAGTTTTTTACAGTTTTCTGTTTTTTCATGTATGCATCATTTTCAGTAGAAAAAAGTAAAACTAATATAAAGAATTGTAAAAAAGACCCGTAATCATACTCAAACTTAATTACTTTTCACAGCTTTTATCCAGCACCTACATGTTCTTGTAGTGTTATGTATGATACTTTTATGTTCATACATTTATCCAGGTTTCTACATAGCACTGTAGTGATTACCTTTGGACATCATAACATTTTGCTTATTTGAAGTTTTTCACCTTAGGCTGAATTTTCATAGGATTAGAGAGGGTAAAGGGTTACACTAAAAATTGGCAGGAGTATGAAAGTACCATTTCTTAATGACCGTTAAGCATTGGAATGAGTGAGATAAGGGGAAGGGAGAATTGTATGTGTGTAAATCTTACTGGCATTGGTTTAGTTTATATAAGGTGTCACAGGATTTTTTTTTAAATATGAAGAAATAATTTGGTATCAGATGACAGTATATTTAAATATACCCTTTAAAGAGTAAATGCAAATTTGTACCTGTTATAATTATTTATTCCATGCTAACCCAGATATTCTAAAACTCATCCTTTCAAGTCAGAACATTCAAGAACTGGGAACATAGGCTGAATCTTAACTCTTGTTAGAATAGTTTATAGAGTTGTGTACTTTGATGCTGTGTCAAGAGCCTTTATTGAGAGAATTCAGTAGACACTCATGCTTTCTGTGATGTTAGAGAATGTGTTGTATTGTGCTATGTACAATAAAGTCATCTGACTTTATGAAGGCCCTTGTGAAGAAGTCCTTACATGCCCTAGTGCCACAAACTGTTGTGCTTTTCCATAGTTATGTGGTTTTTGTCTGTCTAATGAGAACTGTCAACAACATACAAGTAATGTTTTAGTTGCTCAGAGCAAAAATTATAATCTTCCCTTTTAGATGTGCTTTTGGATCAGATTTTATCAAATCTGTGTTTCTTTAGAGAAAATTGATAAATTTTAAAATTTGGAGAAAATTATTAAAGTTTTCATAAAGCATCTTAGTATGACCATGAAGTTAATGATTTCTATTTATTCCATTTATTCCTTTGGGGTTTTGGGTGTTTTTTTGGGGGGGTACCATTTTGTTTTATTAAAATGATAAGCAGCCTTGGCTGGTGTGGCTCACTGGTTTGAGTGCCAGCTTGCAAACCAAAGGGCCGCTGGTTCAATTCCCAGTCAGGGCACATGCCTGGGTTGCAGGCCAGGTCCTCAGTAGGCGGCGTGCAAGAGGCAGCCACACAGTGATGTTTTTCTCCTTCTTCTTCCCTCCTTCTCTCTCTAAAAATAAAGAAAATCTTTTAAAAAGTGAAATAAAATGATAAGCAATAGAGAACTCTATTGCCCTTTAGGTGATGACAGAATTGTTATGTAGGTCATTGAAAGACATAACTGTAGCTGAATGCAAAAAACATTATGGCATAAAATACAGAGTATTATTACAGTCTATAATTTACTTATATTGAGGTATAAATACCAAAGTACTCCAAGTTTTTTCTCCTAAGGAATATGAGTAGGGAGTGAGGCTTGGAGTTCTTTTATGTCTTTTCATGTTGTTTGAACATTCTTTTAGCCATGAGCATGTGGTCTGTTTAATTTTTTTAAACTTTTTTAAAAATAGAACACTGCCTCAGCTTATTTGACATGGGCAACAGTTTGGCTGTGGCAAGATCTCATAAGATCATTTTGTTTCTGTGGTTGAACCTGGATGAGAAGTCTGTCAATGAGTTGTTTTCTGCTGTTGTAAGATGTAGTGCTTATTTTTCCCTCCTTGTCTCTCAGGTCATTTGGATCCAGGATTCCTAGCAAGTGACAAGACATCTGCTGGCAGTGCACCACTCAATGAAGAAATTAATATTGCCTCTTCAGATAGTGAAGTAGAGATTGTGGGAGTTCAGGAACATGCAAGGTAGAGTATTAATTGGAGTATTCTGATATTTTAAATTGTGAATGTTATTCTAGCTAGAAAACGAATGAGAAGAAAGTGGCAGGCATCACTGTATGCTGGCATGAATGGTGGGAACTATCTCTCGGCTTCCTTTGGCTTAAGAAACACTTTTAAATTAGACATGATATGAGTTTCAGAATGTGTTGCATTTGTCTCATATCAAGAACATTGTGACCACCTGTGTATGTGAACTAGAAATTATCTTTTTCTTGTCTGGATTGCTTGACAGATTTTTCTCTTAGGGCATAAGTATCACTGTACTTCCCCCCTCTTACTCATATTTTCTTGCCCTTAACTTTATCTTGAAATATACTGGGACCAAACAATTGGGAAACATGCATCTGATATCATATCTTGATTGCTTGTTTCTTAGTGTACCTCTCCTTGTCTTTCATTAAAACTTGCAAGTTACTTTGGTCAGTATCTAACAGATTGTGTTATTTCTAGTGATGTTTATTTGATTCAGAGACTCCTTTTTCTTAGCATTGAAAAAGAGCTACAAGATATCCAGTTAGTTTGCAGTGCTAAGAAAATAATTTATAAAGTTTGGCATTTGTAAGGTGGAGGTCAGCAAACTAGCCCACTGACCAATTCTGGCCTGCTGCCTGTTTTGGTATGGACCTTGAGCTAAGAATAAGAATGGTTTATACATTTTGTTTTATTTTAACTTTTTAAATATTTTATTTATTTATATTTAGGGAGAAGGGAAGGGAGGGAGAAAGCAATCAATTGGTTGCTTCTTGCATGTCCCCAGTGGAGGGAAACCTGGCCTTTAGCTCAGGCGCGTGTCCTGACTGGGAATCAAACCCTCAATTCACTGAGCCACACCAGCCAGGGCAAGAAGGGTTTTTACATTTTAAATAGTTGGGGGGCGGGGGATCTAAAGAAGAATGTTTTGTGTCATGTAAAAATTACATAAAATGCAAATAAAATTTATTCATGAATTAAATTTTATAGGGACATAGCCATGCTAGTTCATTTACATATTGTCTTTCCCTGGTTTTTGCACTCCAGTGAGAGTTGAGAAGTTTCAAAAGATACAGCCTTCAGAAGCCTAAGATGCTCACTCTGTAGCCTTTTGCAGAGACAATTTACCAACTCTTGCTTTAAGATAAGGATTGGTTGCAGCCCTCTCAGAGGTATTCCTGAGGAACATTTAACACATATGTGTAGGTACAAGACAAAAATTTAGACTTTGAAAATCTGTATTCTGTATAGCAAACTTTTCTCCTATGCTGCAAGAGTTAAGTTGTGGTTTCCTGATTTTCCAATATTTACATTACCTTGCCCTTATATCTGATTTTACTTTTTAGTTAGCAATGAAAGCATTCACTAGTATTTCTTCTGTTGTTATAAAAGGTGAATTTAGGTTTGAAGGGTGGGGGTGAAATACACATGCACATAAATTGAGGGTGCCTTTTTCTAATGAAAACTAATTATATTCTGAGAGCATTTTTCAGTTAAACAAATTGGGACTTTAAAGATACAGAGTTCAGTCATACTTTAATGTGCCATCGCCTCAAAAGGGGCCAGTTTTTTTTTTTTTATCAGAATTAGTATTATCCTAGTACTTTATTCTGTATCCTATATCTGTGCCATAAATATTTCTGTATAGCTGCTTCCTTTTTTTTTTTCTTTTTTAAAATAGTTATTTCCCTATTCTGGTGGGAAAGAATTTTCATTCTTTAATCTTTATCTCATATTTTCCTCTTCTTTCTGTTTACTCGAAAACTTTTTCCTTTAAGTTCTCTTCCATTTTTCTATCTATTCCCTTCAAGCTGCCTTACCTGTTAGATGAAGAAGCAGAACTCCTGATTTATTCCTTTACTTCAGCCTGTGTTTGCTATTAGTTCATTTTACCATTGTTCCTTAGACTATAAAAGATACTATTTTCCTTTTAAGCTCTATGTGAGGATCTTTCTCGAAATTTATAATACTTTTTATTTTAGACTCCCTACTATAAAACTTACCCTGCCTGTCAACAGACTGGTATGGGTAAATTATCTTCATTTGTATAGGAATACATTATCCATTCACAAATTTCCTTTTGAGCTACATTTTAAATTTTAATTCAGTGTTACTCATGTGTTCCTACTTAAGTAGGGAAGAGTAGGTAATAAGTAGGTAATAACCTGTGTTGTTTATTTAATCTTTTACTCTGCTGAGACATCACTTGGTCCAGTTCTCCAATGACTCCTACCAGGTCGCCCTTTTTTACTGTTTTCTTATGCCTAAAATGTTTCAGAGTGAGCCACCTTTCTTTTCAGAGTCTTTGTTCAACTTTTCTTCTATCATGAAACCTTTTGCTTCTTTTTCTACCATATTATTGGTATCTGGAGTTAAAATTATTATATTTCTATTAAAACTTGGACATTTAAATTGTGAGTCCCTCTTTACCTCCAACGTACACAGATTATCTCTAGTACATACTTCTCTGAACTTGTTAGGTCTTTTATCCAGATTGTCCTTTTACTCTGTCAATACATTTGTTCCGCTCTTACACCAATTTATGTGACTTTGGCTGCGTTTTAAATGACATGCTATAACATTACTTTCAAGGACTTCTGCAGAATTTGAAGTATAAAGATGTATGTTATTCTGACTCTGGTTTGAATCCTGGGGAAGTCATATTGTGCAGGTGACCAATCCACTCTGAAATCTCAGTGGTTACATTGTCGGTACAATGGAATGTAGCGTTGACAGATCCTCTTGGAGTGCTTTGAATTGACTCTTGCATCATCTGGGTGCTCTTTTTTATTTTGGTCTTTGAGTCTAGGCTGAGTAGAGTCTCACTGACTGTTCTGTCTTTCTGAAAATTTTTGCAGTAGTTTCTTTAGAAGAAGCCCGGTAAGCTTTCAAATATTGAGATTAAATAGCTGAGAAGCAGGTGGGGGAGACTTCCTTGGTTGCTTCAGAATCACCCCTTTAGCTGCCTGTATCTCATCTGGAATTTATTTCTTTTACAGGTCTAGGGTTGCAGTTATGAAGTATTGATGGGCTTCTGGCAGGGTTATCGCTTGGAAAAAGGTTTTAGGTTTTAATCAGCATCTGTTTGTTCTAATTTGATTTGCATGTACTGATTTTTTTTTTGTTTGGACTTAGCCATTCTGTTTTTACTGTTTTTCTTACGATACTCTGCCTTGTTGTGGGCTTTCTGAGAGTTTTTTAAAAACTCAGAATTGGTCCTGGAGTTCTCTTTGGGATTGTGGTTGCTCTGACTTGTTTTGGGTGCCATACTTCCATATTTGGAAGCATTTTATTTGACCTTTGTACTTAGTAATTTTACTTGTGATGTGCCTTTCTTTTTGTTTTAAGTTGTTTTTCTTTTCTTGCATGTTAATATTTTTCCTGCTCTTTTACTTAGATTTTGACGTGTTCACTTCTATGTTTCTTCTAGTCATGGACTAGAAAGCATGCTTTCTGAACTAATGATTGAATGCATCTTTTATGGCTGCTTTGTGTTGCTGTGATGAGCTCCTGACCTAAATGTTATCATTTCCAGGTGTTAATTGTTGGACAGTCCAGTTCACAAGATGCTTTTTGCCAGTGAAAGACTTTTCCAACATCTCTCTAGTTCTGTGCCACTTCATTTTGCCAGCCATTTTAATTTATGCCTCCCCCAATACCATTTTTTTTTGGCTCTTCATCCTTTTTCCTTCTCTTCTTTTACCAGCCTCATTGATAATTGCCCTAGGAAATTGAATCCATGTAGCACAGATCTCTCTGTCATGGAACTGTGTTGAAACAGTTCCTCCTGTACCTATTCTCTGAAGCTTTTTTTTTTTTTTGTGATAATAAGACCCTTACCTCATTGCACTGTAGTCTTTGCTTCTGTTCATTGACATTAATGTTGGTTCATCCCTCAACAAAAGAATTGCTAGGGGAAGCCTTTTGCATTTTAGACTGGTTGGTTCCTAGAACCAATTACTAACATTAATACTAAAAAAGCAAGGGAGGCAGATGAATATTTTCCTAAAGCCACAAGGATTCATTTCATCCTCAATTAGGAAAAATAAGTGGGAATGTTACCTAACAGGTCACCTTCAGGCTCTGTAAATGAGAGCAAAAGTGATTAATTAAAAAAATTTTTTTCTTTCTGTTGTTCAATTACAGTTGTCCCCATTAACCCCCCCATTAATCTCCTCTGCCCTACCCAACCCTACCTCCCCAAAATAATAAATTTTTAATGTTCTCTTAGAGTAATAAGCTAATTGTATCAGAAGCTATCAGAGCCTACCCTCTTTCTGTTTTTTTTCTTTTTCTTTTCTACTGTGAAGTCTCTCCTTTCTTGGTTTCAGTGTACGAAGAGCAGGAAATTATTCTATCAAAAGTTATTGTTTATAAAGTGTTTTTGTTTGTTTTTTAAAGTAAGGCCTGCCCTGGACACATGGCTCGATTGGAGCGTCGTTCCGTGCACCTGAAAGGTTACTGGTTTAATCCCGGTCAAGGCACATGTCTAGGTTGCAGGTTTGATCCCTGGTTGGGGTGTGTATAGGAGGCAACCTATCAATGTTTCGCCCATGCGCATGTGCACGCCCGCGAGTGCTCGCGCGCGCGCTCTCTCTCTTTCTCTCTCTTTCTCTCTCTTTATCTTCCCCCTCCTCTTCCCCCTCCTCTTCGTCCTCTGTCTGTAAAAATCATGGGAACATGTCCTCAGGAGAGGATTAAAACAAAAAAAGTAAAGTAAGGCCTAAGCATTTTCTTGGCTTAAGACTCAAAATATGAGTAGGTACTGTTTTATACCTATTGCCAGTCATGCAGATGTGAGAACAAAGCCTATATCTGCACTAGAATTGGATTGGGCTAATTAAAAAACAGCTATGTATGCTCCCATGCCCAAGTCTTTTATAATGTAGAAAAATAATATGTGATAATACATGCAAATCTGTGCCTTATGTTGGTTGCCTTACACAATTTTCAGCCTCTCACATTTTTCTTTACAGGGCTTGTAACAATTGTGGTTCTATTTTCTTCTAAAATGTTTTTCTTCTTTACCTGGTATAAGTTATTCTGTAATGCACACCATCTTACAAAATAATTGAAATGTTAAACAGCAACCTTTTGTTTATTTACTAGCTTGACTTTTTTTCTCTGTACTTATAAGAAAAGCCTTGTTCTGTTTTTATCCAGCTCCTAGATTCTATTTATTCAAGATGGTTGAGGTCATTAAATTATAAAAAATTGTTTGAATGTTTTAATTGGCTTGTACACAGAAAGGTCATAGGTGTGCTTTTAAAAAAATCCCCATCTGAGGATGTGTGTTGATTTGAGAGACAGAAGCGGGGGCGGGGGAGAGGGAGGGAGACAGAGAGAGACAGACATCATTTGGTTGCCTCCCTTGAACTTGCAACCTAGGTATGTGCCCTGAACGCAGATTGAAACCACAGCCTTTTGGTGTGCAGGACAATGCTCCAACCAACTGAGCCACCCAGCCAGGGCCATAGCTGTACATTTCCGTTTTCATGGACTGCTCATACTCAAGTAACCAGCACTCAGGTCAAGAAGTAGAACAGAAGTCCTCCTTTTACCACCTTCTGGTCATAACCGTACCCCACTTCGTTCCCTGAAGTACTGTTCTGACTTCTAACAGGGAGGTTTTGCCTGAGTTGTTCAAAATCTTAAAGTCACCGATTACCTTAGAATCTCCTTTTACAGTTTTGACAGTGATCCAGCAATTGCCTGAATGTTTAAAAGGCAGTTTATAGTGGCTGCAACTGTTGTGTAGTAATGATCATCCGAAACTTGCCCTCCAGAAACCGATTCATGGTTCTTATTCTGTGCTCTAGATCTCTGTACAAGGTACGGTGGCCACCTTCCATGGTGATTCTGTCTTCTTTGGGCACTGCCTTTCCAGTTTCAGTTAGCAGGGGCCTAGAAAGCTTTTGACCAAAAATGGGATCCTCACATTCTCCAGAGAATCTAAAAATTTGAACCAAGAGAAACAGACTGAGAGGATTGGGTCTTGAGTCTAATGAGTGAGGTTTCATTGTTCCATCATCTTCCGTTCTTTGTGGCACACCAGTGTCCTTTGAACAAATTCTCCTTTTGTTTAAGGTAGCCCAAGTTGGTTTTCAGTAACCGGAACCATTTGTAACATAACTACAGAAACAGTCTAACTTAGTTAAAGAGGTGCCTCATGTCCTTACTCTTCTCTCTCCTTCAGTCATTCCTCAGTAGTAAATACTGTCTCCAGACCTCTCACTGTCCTATTCTGGACACTTTCTAGCATCTGCATTACTATTTATTGAGTGACCTCCAGGGAAGAGAGGTCATTCCCTTACACTCAAACACAGCATAGTAGTACTTCAGGTGTAGTCTGAGGAAGGCATAGTTAATTTAGTGGAAAAAATCTTCCCAGTGGAGACCTGCTTTTATTCTGGTTCTCTGCTTAACTTGCTTAAAACCCTGGGCATTTGTTTTCTCTATAAAATGATCAGATTGGATAGGATCCCTTTTAAAGCAACTACCTGATGTTACACTGTACGATTACTTTATTGGGAATAACGGAATAAATACCTCTTTTATTTTGGAGATATTTCTAGGAATTCTGCCAAAGATTACATTGACTTTCTTTTTAGCCATTCATTCCCTGAATTCCTCCTAAGGTTGTATGTAGCCAGCTTTTCTTTAATTAGTACTTGTACAGATGAACTTTTGAACTGTTGAAGAACTTTCATTTTTAAATTGTTAATCTGGGCCTATATTTGCACTCTGCAGATTGTTACTGTTTGCCTTAATGTATTTTAATATACATTTATACCCTGGCTGGTGTGGTTCATTTGGTTGGGCATCATCCTGCAAACTGAAAGGTCACAGGGACTATTCCCGGTCAGGGCACATGACTGAGTTATGGATCTGGTCTTCCAGCTGGGGTGCATGTAGGAGGCAACTGGTATTTCTCACTCACATCGATGTTTTTCTCTCTTCCTTCCTCCCTTCCCCTCTCTCTGGAATCAATTAAAAAAACACACATACACACATTTATAAAGCGACAACATGATACTGTGGAAAGCATTGGACTCAAAATCAGACCTGGCTTGAAGTTCCCTTGCCAGCCACTTTCAAGCAGTGTGACCCTGGGCAAATCATATAACCTCTTTAATCTTTAGTTTTCCCTGTCTGTAGAATATGGATAGTAACTTCAGTGTCTACCTCATAGGTCTTGGGAGTGTCAAATGAGGTGAAACTGCTTAATAAACTTAGTATTCTATTGCCATCAGTTATCAAAAACATTTCTATAAATATTGAATGGACTTCTTTGGGTGACAGTCTTCTATGAGTATGTGATCACTTAATCTGAGTATACTTAATGGGTTGGACAAATTTGGGTTAGATTTGGACTTTATGTCCCTTAATTTAATGCTTTTTACTGGTGAATTTTTCAAGATGTAGCGAGTAACGCCCCCTTAACTCATTTCTGAACAGATGACAGGTCTCTGGTCTGTAACAAATCTGCATTCTGCCCTGTGCCCTGGCCCCATGGGGTCTGTTTTTCAGGATCTCTCTTGGTAAGGAAGTTGTTTATTGATGCCTTTGCAGGAGCAGGACCTCTTTCAAGGAGCTTAAGGTCCTTAGGGGCAGTTCTGCCACTGACCCCATTTAATGTTAACACTAATGTTCTTTTGAACTTCGTGGTGCAGGGGGCATTGAAGGCTGGAATACTCAAGTGATCCAGCATCACTCACTGTATACTGGTTGTGAGAGCAGCTGCTCAAGACCCACTGTGATAGGTTATGTGACTAGAGTCATGCCATTTGTCACCTGTCACATGCCACACAAGGACTCTTCATCTCAGTTGCAGGTGTGTCCATCCTGGAGGAGGTGTGATTCAGAGCGTTTTTCACCAGTAATTTAGATGTGAGGGCATAAGTAGCCAAGGTAACTTGAGCTGCCTGCCTTCCTCTCATTTGAGTCAAAACTTAGTGGTTACACTGGAGGCTCACAGTCCTGCCATTTGACTGGGATGTGAAATTCAGTGTCAGTGCTTCTGAAACAATTTGCTTCCAGTGAACTCTTGGTGAGGTTCATCAGCAAGGCAGTTCTGTCCCTCCCATAGAGTATGATACTTTTAGGGAAGCTAAACTGAGTACTCGTTCCTTTTAGAGATTCTCAGCTGACCCTTGCTACTTACACTGAACTAAAGCATAGGAAGTTCTGATGAAGAAGCCAAGTGTTTGTGCTGACCCTCAGAATGAGGGAAATTGATCCTCTACGTGTGATCTAGTTACAGACTTTTAGAAATCTCACCTGTAAAGGGATATTACTGTTACTGTCTTTGAAGGTGTAATTACCAAATATGGCACGGAACTTATTTTTTAAAAAGTTTCATTTATATTTCTTACTGTTTCATTTGTTCAGACTGAGATTGTTTGGGCATATTCATTTTGCTCTGGATTTATATGGTGCTCTGTTGTTAAGATCCAGAGGTTTAAATGAGTTCAGAGAAACAGCATCTTATCCATTGTTACTAACAGTCCTAGGCATAACTCAGGAGTTTCTGAATGAGACAAAACTCGTGGCCTTTTTTTTAGGCCATACCGAGAGGAGGGAGAGGGAGGAAAAAGGGAAGGATATTGGTTGTGGTTTCATGAACTTGCATAGTAGCCTGATCTTAGTAAAAGTATTGATTAATCCTAGTGAAGATATATTGCCTTCTGTCTTCCCTGTGGTACAGTTAGCCATGCTTTTGCTCTTCATCTCAATTGCAGGTGTGTCCATCCTCGAGGAGGTGTGATTCAGAGCGTCTCTTCATGGAAGCACGGCTCAGGCACGCCGTATGTCAGCAGCCGGCAAACTCAGTCATGGACTGCTGTGGCTCCCCAGCAGACTTGGGCTTCGCCTGCAGAAGTTGTAGACCTCACCTTGGATGAGGATAGCAGGCGTAAATACCTACTGTAATACAATGTCACTGTGTTCCCTCTGCACTGTTCCCTTCCGCTTCCTCCTCCTCTTTGTGACATGGAAGTTCATTGTCATAGCTTCAGCCTCAGAAGCTGTTTGTGGCATTTGTATAATCAAAATTCATGGAAAATTGCCCCCCTCCTTTTTTTCTCCTTTTCTTCCTTTTTTTCTTTTTTTTAAATTAAAAGAAGTCACTTAGGAAAATAACTTATCACAGAGAAAAGAATTTCTTCTTCCCCTTGGTAGGGATATAAGAATGATGAATTAGACAACTTTATTTTACTTGGTGACTTTTTTTTCTTAGGAAACTCTGCCTTCCTTTTAGAATAATATTTTAATTACCAGGTGAAATGAATTTTAGTGTTTGAATCTCGTATTTATTTTTCTGTGTAATAAAATTGATATCTAGACTTGACCACTGTCGGCCCACCCATTGGCACTCCCACCTTAGGGCATTTGCACATATGTTAGTCAGGTCCTTATTGGCACCTAGTAGGGCATGTGCATTTGGAAACCTGTTCTTAAAAATAGAAGACAAGTGTTACATTTCTTTTAGCTTAAGTCTTCTAACTTCTTTCCTGACTTTGCTCCTGGCTGACTTCCCACAACACATATAATTGACCTGCCCCTTTGTGTTTATAAATACTGCTAAGATGTCTTAATTGGTCTCTTTGTTGCAATAATCGGTAACTCTTTGGAAAATGTGGCTGAGGCATTTCGGATGCATAACCACCATGAGGTTTTCAGGGCATAAATAGAGAGTATTGAGAAATCAGTAGGAAAATCTCACTCCCTCAACATTTTTTCCCGGGTTTATTCAAATAACCGGAGAACACGAAAACCTGTTACTTAGGTAGAATATAGAGTTGTGTGGCTTCCAAGGCTGTGGGCACTTGCAAATATTTGCTGAGAGGAAAATGCCTTCTTTTCATATCTGATCTCTCCAAAAAGGATGTACAACTGTTTGAACTTGAGCTGAAATTGACCTGATTCTACATTTGGATATTTTTCTCTACCTTCTAAAATTGGAGAAACCGAAATGCACCATAAGAAACCAGATGCAAAGCACATTAATGGCACTGTAGGTTTTACAGTATCTAAAATGTATAGCAAAGGGTAGTATGAGCTTCAGGGAATTTGGGAAATGCCAGTGTGGGAATTTGTGGCATTAGTTACTACCTTTCTCCCTATGACATGTTCTAGTTACTAGTGAATTATTTTACAAGCAATACCTAGAGTTAAAACACTATATACTGTGTGCAGGAGGAGTGAAGTAATATTGGCTTAGAAGACCTCATCTTTTGTTTTTCCACAGTTTTTGTTGGCCTGTTTTGGGTTTTTGGCTCCACTTTTACCATATAATATTGCTAAAGCCCTTTTCCTCCCTCCCCAAATATATTGTTGGCTCTTCCTTATTAAATGAGCGTGAGAACTACCATTTCTTAGTTTTCATTCAGTAGACACTCATTTACTAAGTGCCTGTTCCGCATAAGGCATTATGCGGGGTGGGTGCTGTGGGGTGGCTGAGATGAATGAGACACCCCCCACATGCGCATGCACCAGAGTCTGCCTGGCTCCACCTGCCTGGCTCTTTTGTTTCAGAAAGACTTGGTTGTTCCTTTACCCTTCCTCCTGCTGCTGTACTTCCATTCGCTTCTCCCCTGGGAGTGTACTGAAGTATGTTGTTTTTTGAGCTTCTCTGATAATATCTCATTTGATCTGGCCTCTGTTCATCAACTTTTTATTTTTCTATCAATGTACTTTTAATAGCTCACGCCTTTAAAAGATCATTAACCTCCACTTTTAGCACCTCATATCTCAAGTCTCTCACATGGCCCTAGTTCAAGACAAAAACCAAAGACCCAGAGGCCAGAGCAAAGTAGGACCTTCTGCAGATTCACTACTGGTGTATCATTGGACCTTCACATTTTACTTTAGGATTAATTTATTAAATTTTACTGTTACACATTGTTTTTGACTTGAATTAAAATGCTAGACAAAGCAGAAATGTACAGTTTCTGGTCTTTGTATTCCAGGAAAATCATTGGGAAAAGAATAGAATAGATTATATGACTTGAAGTTTTTGCAGCTTATTTTGTCCCCAATATCAGGGCAGAGCCCTGTTTTAAAGAATGTTTTGCATTCTGTACTCTTACGTTAACAGTATGTTTGTCCAGTTCCATAAGCAGGCAATTTCCCATGACATGTTTTCTTCACTCCTTAATAGTCATCCTCTAAGAAAAAGGATTTTGGTGTTCTGTGTGCACTGCAGATTGGGAGCAGAGTGAAGTTGTAACCCAGCTGTTTTCTGGCCATTTGCTTTTGTAGCAGGTTGCACTTTGCCCTCACCTGCACCCTGTCCCTCTTCCAGCACCCTGCCTACCTGAGTGATGCATCGGAACAGGGATTTGGAAATCAGATGCAAAAGGGGGAAGGGAAGGGATGGATGATAGGGACAGCCAGCTTTTCCCGCTACTAGATTGGAACTTTTCTGCCTACTAACTACACAGAGGCTGCGTTCCAACTCTCCTTTCATTGCCAGAGCCAGTAGAGTGGGATGTGGTTTCTGGCAAGGTATTAATGATAAAATTCTGTGGTAAACAACTTCTGTAACATTTGAAATTTCTTTATGTAAGAGGGTCTTTTTAAACCAAAGTTTTGCATTTGGTGGCATAAATACTTCTTTATGCCTCATAGGACATTGTCCATTCTAATTAAAATCTCTGTTAAATGGTGCAGTTGGGTCACAGACTGGTTTATGGAACTAAGTTGGTTGTCTCCCCTCCCCACAATTTGAAACCACAGAGCAGTAACCAGCTATTATTACATCGTCACAACTGCCCTAGAGCATGTCACTGCTGCTCACCAGTAGTTGTCTTTCCATTTTGACGGAAGGGGCTGGGCTGAATGGACTCCCATTATTCTTTACAATTGAGCGTCCCATGAACTCTGTTTTTGTTATCATCAATTGTGAATATAACCGCCTGATTTGCTAATTTAGTCAATTGTTCATTGTTACTTTTAGCAGATTAGCACCATAGGTAACTTAAAAATGAATTTGTTGCCTGCTTTTTTGTACTGTGTCACAAAGCTTGTGAAAAAGCTGGGGACACAATTTTGTCTTTCAGTTTAACTTTTTTTTTAAGGCAAGGAACTCCTAATCCTTGTTTTCCAGTATGTGTATGATGTGACTTTGATGTATATATAAAAATGATTGCACCCTAACCAAACTTCCTCAGATTGTGCACTGTTTGTTTAAAATAATCACGTATTTTAGTCCAATGCTGTTGTATTTTTTCATTTTATTTAAAACACTATGTACCTATTCTTTTAACAAACTTTAAAGGGTAGTGATCTTAAAAAAAATCACTGGATAACTAGGAAATATATTTTTTGTTTTTTTTTTTTGTTTGTTTTGTTTTTTAAGAGAGTACAAAGGTCACTGAGGCCTTTTGCTCCTCTTACCGTGAAAATGAAATGTTAGCCATTGTATGGCTAGGAATCAATGCACTTGGTGGTTAACAGATCTGCTGTTGCTGGAGTGTGAGCGTGGACTTGATGCAGTGACGACAAATCATTGCTTAGAATTAATGTTTTAAAATGTGCAACTCTAGTTTTTAAAACAAAATTTGGTTCTTCTTTACATTCATTATTTAGTTTTTGTTTCCATTTAGTATTTAATGGTCTTTGGAGAAAAAATAATAAAACAGAGTGTTATATATATATTTTTTGGTGCAAGATAAGATTTTCTGTTTTTTGAAATAAGTCTGTAGCATAAAGGTTAAACTATTTTAAGACAAAAATAAAATAGAGTGTATTTAAACAATGATAATTTCTGAGGATTTTTTTTTCTCTCTGCTTCAGTTAATTAGATGGTGCCTGGAGCAGCTCCTGAGTTACTTTTGGATGTGAAAGGGGATTATATTTTGTTAACAGAACATATTGTTATAAGATGCCTGACTTTTTCCAAGCAATAACTATATCCTACTTCCAGATGTTTTGCACATGACCTTTGGTGTGTTAGGTCTAGATAAAAATAGCTTTGCGTTAGCTTTCCCGTAAACCCTACGTCCCTTTCTGGCTAAGACCATGAGATTTCAGAGTGCTGAAGGCTCTCTAATGCTGGGCACCTTTGTTCCTGGGACTAAACCTCAGCTGACAGTTACTTCCCAGAGGCCAGTGCACGCGGGCAAGACGCAGTGCCTGCATGCCTTTTGCACATGGTTGAGCACGGAAGCAAATACAGGGTGTTTCAAAAATACCATATTTTGCTGTGTATAATGTGCAGTTTTGCCCAAATTTTTTGAGGGAAAAATAGGGATGCATATTACACATGGGTAGTACTAATTCCATATCTATATAACTGTTTTTGATTCTTTTATTTATGCTTATGCATTAAAAGTATAACTCTAGAAAGCAATAATGATATCCATATGCAAAATAATACCCTGGAATACAATAATCAACTTTATTTCTAAATATAAATGAATGAGTAAGTGAATGAATAAATAAATAATTGAATTAAAAAACTAAAACGAAAGATTTCACCCCCCCGCCCCTGAAAGTTTGGGCCAAAAACATGGGTGTTCATTATACATGGGAGTTCATTGTACACAGCAAAATATGGTAGCCTAACTTTTCTGCACTTCTTTGGTTCTATTTTCAGATTTTCTTATTTGGTTATTGAAATGGTAGGAGCTACCATATTAATGTCTCATGACTTTTGTAACTTCATGTAAAGGAGAAAGAGGGACCAGGGAGAGTGAGTCCTATATTGATTAAAACATACACTCGTGGATCTCTTAATGTTCCCTGACAGGTTGTAGTTCTACTTGCACTAGAAGGCTATCTGTTAACAATTAGGAAATATTTGCAGTTTTTTGAAATGGTTCTTCTATACTATCTTGTATCTGAGACCTAGACATATTAGTGCTGTGACACACTTTTTTTCCCATGGGCCTGAGAAGAAAATTGTTTACCCCGGGCTTTGCTTTTGAACCCTTTTGCCTTTGGATGCTGTGCTTTTGAAGACAAGACAAAGCATGAGTAAGTAAAATAATCCACAGGTAATATTCAATTTCATTCTGGGCTCCTCCTTTTATCTTTACTGGCTTTTGGTTTGCCTTCCCTTGTTTGCATGTTTTTCACATTGGATCAGCGGTCCCCAACCTTTTTGTCAACCGGGACCAGTTTCATAAAAGACAATTTTCCCAGAGACTGGTTGGTGGAGAGAAGAGGGATGATGGCTTCGTAGCCTGCCACCAGATGCAGTTAATTGTCACTTGCCACTCACTGACAGGGGTTTGACACGAGTCTGCAAGCAATTGATTTATTATGGTCTCTGTGAGGTCAAACCTCTCTGCTAATGATAATCTGTGTTTGCAACCCCTTCCCAGCACTGTCACCACCCCCTCAGCTCCACCTCAGATCCTCAGGCATTAGATTCTCGTCGGGAGCACGCAGCCTAGATCCCTCACATGCGCAGTCCTCAGTAGGGTTTGCGCTCCTCTGAGAATCGAGCGCCACTGCTGATGTGACAGGAGGAGGAGCTCAGGCAGTAATGGGAGTAATGGGGAGCCGCTGTAAACACAGGGGATGCTTCCCTTGCTCACAGCTCACCTCCTGCTCTGCGGCCTGGTCAGTTCCTTGTAGGCCATGAACTGGAGTGGTCTGTGGCCTGGGGCTTGGGGACTCCTGCATTAGATGACAACTATTTATAACTTTAGTCCAAACAGAAAAAGTGTAGATAAATCTTTACCAAGTACATAAATAGCTCTTCGGTTCCAATTTTGCAACCTGAGGGAAGTTTTTCTAGGTTTTGCTTTAACCATGTTACTGATCTGTGAAGGAGTAAATCCTCTTAGGTCATTGGTAGACAGGATTTTCTTTGCTTGCTTGACTTCATGTTTGGGTGCAGCGATGAACAGAATTAGAGAAGGTCTTGGGCTACAGTGGAACTCCGGCTGGGACAGTCTGCTCGGAGGAAAAGAAGGTCGTCGTAAGTAGTGCAGGGAGCTCAGTACAGATGCAAGTGGTGGTCCACAAACCTCACAAGGGACATAGCAAGAGCACCCACTGGCTCAGTACAGGTTGTGGCACCGTTGGCTCTGCTCGTTGGCCACTGTGCTACCCTGCAGGTGGCAGGCCTTCTAGCTGGAGAGGGCCTCAGGCAGCGTGGATCTCTTTCTGCCAGGCTCCGGAGCCCATTTGGTGGGCTGGATGTGAGTCAAGGATGAGAGTGCCTCCCAGCAGGGCAGTCAGACCTCAGAAATGTGGGGTGGCAGCTGCTGGTGTGATCTGCTCCAGATCCTGGCCTGCTGGTTGGGAACACCCCTTAGTGGTAAATTGTATCAACTTAGCTTTTTATTTTTTGTAAGAGAAGCTATCTGGTACCAGATTTTTCTTTTTTGATATGGTAATTGCTACCTCTTGGTAATTGACACCTCAGAGCAGCCATTTCTGATTTCTTTCCATAATTGCTTCATTCTAAGAGTGGGAAGGTGAAATATTGTCAACTGTTCAGCCTCACTTTTTTTAAAAATCCTCGCCTGATGATATGTTTTTTATTGATTTTTGAGAGAGAAACATCCATCGGTCACTCCCATATGTGCCCCAACCAGGGATCAAACCTGCAACCATCAAACCCACAGCCTTTTGGTGTAGAGGATGATGCTCCAACCAACTGAGCCGCCTTGGCTGCAGCAAGCAAGCCTGACTTGAGGCTGGATCTTGGCACCTGCAGCCTGAAGGGGTTCAGACCCCTTCAGGGAGTGGCCTTACTAATGTATAAAGAGCCTGCACCAGAGAACAGGAGGCTCCAGAAAGGCCATCTGACCCCGGAGGGATTTGATTTCTACACCTGCGAAACGAAGAATTTTTTAGATTTCTTTTCTGAGACCGAAAGGAGGTACTTCGTTGCTCTGCAGAGCCATTCAGCATTTTAGGCAGGAATTCAGCAGAACTGCTTACTTCGAAAAGCTGTTCAGAGGACCACAGTTCTGTCATCTCACTGAAGCTTTGGAGAAACACCGGATGCCTAACACTCACAGAGCCTTGGATTTCTACAAACAGTGCTCAGACTTTTAGAAGAATATTTATTTCAAAATTTTTAGGTGGGGGTAAGAAGTGGTACAAATTGTTAGCCTGATTTTGCAGATTGGAAGACTGAGAACAGAATAACAGCTTATCTAGATTTACATAGCTAGACTTTGCAAAGAAGATTTTTTCCCCCTAAGGTTCAAATTGGGGCTTTTTAGCTTTAAGAAAAACAAAACGTCTTCCCTTTACCTGGCTGCTGCTACTCATGCTACTACTCTTGCTTCTTCTCTTCCTCCCCCTGCCCAGCCCCTCCCTCTTCCTCTTGTCTTCTTTTTTTTTTGCTGCTGCTGCTGCTGTAAAAAAGGCTTACTGAGTACCGTTTGATTGGTTCCCTTTTTGGCAAACAATTGCAGATTTAAGCACCAGAACCGCATACCTGAGTATGCGTTCCAGCTCAGGCTTTGGAATAGCCATGGAAACTGTTTTCTGTAGATAGAGTTCCCGTCTTGTAGTTTATGGAGCTCGGAAATATAGATGGCCAGTGAACATAAGAATGATGCTCAGGCTCACTACTAATTATGGAAACGCATGTTTACAGGATGCCATTTCACACAGAATCAGACAGGAGTACCTTTGGGTCCCCGAAGGAGGCAGAACGGGGGCAACTTGCCTGTCGTCTTGTGTGAGCATACTTTGCCACAACTGTTTTTGAAAAGAATGGAATTGTGTAGTAAAGCTGAATATGTGTGTACCTGAAACTGTAGACTGAGTGTGGTTCCCCCCCCCCCATTCATATGTTAAAAAGCCTTACTCCCCAACTGGCTGTTATTTGTTGGAGGTGGGGCCCTCAGGGTAGGTAATTGCATTTAGGTGAGGTCATCAGGGTGGAGCCCCGGTGATGGGATTAGCGCTCTTACTGGAAAAGGAGAGTCTTCTGGGAGGACACAGGAAGAGGGCTCTCACCTGAATCCAGCCATGCGTGGCACCCTGATCTAAGGCTTCCTGCCTTTAGCACTGAGAAGAAAAGTCTGTTGTTTAAGCCACTCACTCTAGAGTGTTTTGTTATGGCAACCCACGCTAAGACACCCCATATCCAAAATTCCACTCCTCAGAATGATACCCTTGAGCAGCTTTTAAACTGATGCTAGCCTGTATAGGGAAGTTACGAAATCCATTCCGTGTCTATAAATCATCTTTGTTTATATGTTTAAGGAAATATAGCAACATAAAGGATAATAAGAGACAATGTTACATGCAATTTGTTATATACTGATATATGAGGTCTCTCCAGAAGGTATCCAGCCATGTAGTATGAAGAATAGAGACATTTATTGAAGAAGACACAAGATACAAGAAACAGTGTATACAGGATGGTGACACTTAAGCTGTCTTCAAAGTAGGCCCCTTGGGACCTCACACAGTTCTCCCAATCGCTATAAGCCACCCTGTTGTATTTTCCTGAATCTCATCAATGGTCTGAAATCTCTTCCCTTTCAAAAGTGATTTTAGTTTTGGGAAAAGCCAAAAGTCGCAGGGTGCCAAATCTGGGCTGTAGGAGGGGCTGAGTCACCTGGGTGATTTGATGCTTTGCCAAAAAACTGCACGAGATGTGATGCATGAATGGGTGGGTTGTCATGATGAAGCGGCCAATTACCAGTTGCCCATAGCTGCGGCGTTCTGAATCATCTGAATTGTTCTTTGGAGGAAAACGCAAAATTGGATGCAGATTCGTTGCTCTACTTGCTTAGTCATTTTGAATGCAATGGCCACACAGTACACATGTCCCTC